TCCCTTCGATTCTACTTAGAATTTCTTAATTCTGGTCATTATTATTCAGGATAATTGGTTTGTGCAACAATTTTGCATACGTAATTATGCTTAGTGCAGCAGAAGATATACTGTCAGCGGCGGATGGTCCTAAAGCATCCTCCAAAAGCATTGATGATCCTTGCCAGGTTATTTCTCCCATCTTTTTTTTTTTTTTCAACATTTTGAATATCTCCTTTAATAATAACACTGTCTAACAGAAGAAATAGATTACTTTTAGACGTTTGTTATTTATTTATTCTACAACTGTTATTTTTTTTCTCATTCTCTCTTTCTTTGCCTTTAGTTTTTCATTACTAATACATTTGAAATTTTAGTTCTGTTTAAATTTACTTTCTACGCATTTTATCATTGGTAGTTTTTCAATAATTTGACTGCATAACAATTTAATAGTATGCTCTTATAGTTGAATACTATTATTGTTTCAGAATTCAGTTGTTCATCGTCAATGCCAGCCATTATCCACAGGTTCAGTGTTATTAGCAAATATTATACCATGTTTGGTTGTAAAAATATTCTACCCATTTGTTATGCATCGCATCCCTTTTGGGTAAGCACTCTATTCTAAACTAAAAATTCGAAAAGAATTTTTAATCAACTAAATTTTTTTTTCATTAAAGTTAACACTCACGGTCTTAGTTTGAATATATTAATTTAAATTTCAGTGTACGACATTTCTTTGTTGTTCTTCTTCAGATAAGCAGCTTTTTGGTAGTTGCTTTTTCGCGAAATATTGTGATGAGTTTAACTGGTTATTTTTTCTTTCTTTTTTATTTGCTTTATTCTATTAAAAAAAATTAGACTGAATAACTTCTGTATATCTTAATTCTGTTTCAGTAAACTCATTTCTTTTTACTAGGACATATGTTTGCCTCATTTATTTCAACTGAATCTTCTGTTTATGTAGTGTCGAGCATCAATATATTCCAAAATACATTAACTCGGACAAGCTTTATGAAGAAAGTGTTAATTTTTTACAGGTGTTGCTTTAGCGAGCATTGGAGCAGGTATTGGAGAAGTTACGTTTCTTTCACTGACTACCTATTTTCCCAAGTAAGTGATATTTCTTTTTGTCTAGTGTGATCTTTACTCTTTGCATCTTTGAAATGAATCGATCGCTATGTTCATTTTTTAGAAATGATTGTTTTCCAACTATTTATTATTTAGTTACAAGTGATATTATAACTAAATAACTAAATTAGCATTTGAACGATAAAATGTGTTGCGAAGTAATCATTGTTTTTAATTGAGTCATTTTTTTTTTTTTTGAATAAAAGAAATCTGAGACATAACTTTTGATTTAGATATTCACTACTAATAAGTTAAAGTTTCTAATATGAACTTTGTAGTTTCTAATATGGCTTTAGCACTTCTCAAACTTTAATATATTTCAACAGCAATATATTATTGAGACTTTGACCAAAGCGAAGGTTCTTTAGAATTAAAAATCTCGGTCACAGTCTTCCTAAATATTACATAGTTTTAATAAATTTGAGAAAAGTCTTTGAATTCGAAGTATAAACTTTCAATAAATAAATGAATATTGATTGTAGTAGTGTGGTGGGTACATGGTCATCTGGAACCGGTGGCGCTGGAATTTTTGGTTCCTTTGCTTATGCGATGCTAACTGATATACATATGTTGGGATTGACACCACGAAATGCGCTATTGCTTATGCTCATTGTTCCATTTACGTTTGCTCTCACGTAAACTGTTTATCAGTTTTGCTGCTTGTAATATATAGTGGAAATTATTATCAACATTTTCCTAACTTATTATAAGTGTTAATTTTTTGTTTTTTCGTTATCATTATTTTCTTGTTAGCGTTCTACAAATTTTTAGTTATTGGAAATTATTACTATTACCTGGGAACATACATCGCGTATCACTATGTAAACCATCAACATATTTAATTACCTATTCTAGTAAGTTTTTTTTTTTTTCTTTTCATTACAACCGATGAAGTTTAAATTACTTAAATTTTGATATTTTTTTCGGAATAAGGAATAACATATTCTATAGTATACGAATAGTTTCAGCATTGAACAGGCGAAGAAGAAGCGATATAAACAGTAGTGATGAAGCAGCACAACTGATCAGTTAATGTTTCGATATGTTAACTTATACGAAGGCTTTCCGGGCATTAATTATGGGGCCTATTATTATTACATATCTGATACACAGATTTAACCTCTGAAAAGAGGTTTATGATGTTTAGTGTTTAACTCTTTCCCATCCACTTATCATAATCGTCAACTTACTTTTTTTTTAGAAAACATGTTTTTGTTTTTTTTTTTTAATTTTGTTTTTTAATATTTGAAATGTTAATTCGTATTCTAAAGGCTTGAAAAATTTCTTCTTTCTAAGATATTTCATTTTTTTTCAATTTTATAGATAGTTCTGATGTTTCTATTGGCGAAATTGTTTCCATCAATGAGCAACAAAGTTTCAGTGATAAACTGACATTAGCCAAGGTAATATACAGTTTGTAATGTTAATTCCATGCTTTGTGAAAATGAACAAAATAATTTGTTGATGACACTATAGGTTTTTAACAAAGAATCTTTCCATGATTATATCTGATATTAGATATCATTAATGTAGCTATACTGAATGTTTTCAATACTCTTGTAAAAGATAACGTTTTAAGTTAATAGAAATGGTTAATTTGCGTTATGTTAATATAAATTGTTTTTATTATGTGCACAAAATAAATTAATTGAATAATTTATTTTTTTTATTTTGCAGCCTCTTATTTTAAAATATATGTTTCCACTTGCTTTAGTTTATTTTGCGGAATATTTTATTAATCAAGGATTGGTAAGTTATCAGAAATTTTAATTTATTCATTTTTGGAATTATTTAAGTTAAATTTTTCTTCTAATTTTTTTTTTCTAATGTAATGAGTTTTTACTTTATATCATAATGATTACTATTGTTGTTGTATGGAATATTTTCCATATATTGCTTAATAAGAAAAACATGTATCAGCAACTGTAGCATTCTAATTAAACAGCATTTTTTTTTTTATTTCCAAATATCTCACAATCTCATTCTAAAAGATTTCTAAAAAGTGAGATTAAATTAAGCTATAAGTTCAAATGAAAATAATTGATCTATTTTCAACAGTATTTTCATGGTCCATAAAATTTTTCCAATGCTAAATGTGAGAATGTTGCAGCTGGAATTACTTGTATATGATTGTGCACATAGTTTTGGTATTGGTCATCATGGACAGTATCGTTGGTATCAAGTACGTATTATAAAGCTTTTCAAAATTAAAATTGTAATTTATATTTTATAAAGCTAGAATATATTTATATTTTCATTTTTATAGGTACTTTATCAGCTTGGAGTATTTATTTCACGCTCTTCCGTTGAGTTTGTTCAGCTACAATCATCGTTTATACCTCTAATTCCTATTCTACAAGTAAGAGAAAGTATAATTGAAAATTTTTAATCAACATGTACATATTTTCAACAGCTAATATACATTTTCAATTTTTCTTTTGAAACAAAAATGAATTTGTTAGTAGGTAACTGCATTTTGATATGTTTTTACTTGTCTTTCATCTTTTTATTGCTTGTTTTTCAGACAATAAATGCTATCTTTCTATTTTGGGATACGTTGAAATCATTTATACCGCATGTCATTATTGTATTTATTATTGTTTTCTATGAAGGATTATTAGGGGGAGCAGCTTATGTTAACATTTTCCGTTTGCTACATAAGTCGGTGAGTTAACAAATTTGCAGATTACTCATTTGTAATTTCTTTTGAGTTTGATATCACATGTTTCCCTGAACTCACTCAAATTGTCTTCGAAGAGTTTTGGTATTCTCTATCAATTTTAATCGATAAGCTAGCTGATGTCTAGCACTTAATTTTATAGACTTAGTATGATTTTATGCAATTTAAATAAGAAATTACCTAAAAATTATCCACGAATTTTACAACCGCAATATGGTCAATATAAAAAATGTCGAAATGCAAAAAAAAAAAAAACACATTTCGCTTGATATTTACACTCATTTATTTTATCAAATTTGCGATCAGTCTCAGTGAACCAAACATAGTTGTGCGTCAATTATTCTCCACAAAGAAGCTTAACAATTCTTGCCATCAAACAGTTCATACCCATATTTTTTGTTATCATCTCATTGCTGCCAGTCATTCCGATACTGTGACAAAATATTTGTTTTATCATAGGGAGAAGTGATCTTTCCTTTTTTTAAAATTAAATTTAATGCAAGTTTCAGATTCCAATAGAAGGAAGAGAATTCAGTTTGGGTTTCGTTTCGATGTCTGATTCATTTGGTATTGTATGTGCAGGTTTTTTAGCCATACCAGCTCATAATTTCATTTGTAGTATGCCTGTTTAAACCTGTCTCAAATTCTTCTAAAGTGAGCGATTACTTTTGTGACATTGCTCATTTCCTTCTTCCAAACAAAGTTATAAATAGTTTTGTTTTACTTTCCTTTTTTTTTGGAATTTTAAAAAGATTACTGTCAGGACTGACACATTTTAAAAGCTCATGTTTCGGGGGTTGTAATAATTTTTTGTTAAATTTATAAAATTGTAATATCTCAGTTTCTCTTTTCTCATTTGCATTCAGAAGCGTGGGTCTTTCACTGGAAAATGTTTCAATAAAACGAACATTTATCATCATTAATGTAAATATATAGTAGTAGTGAATAACAAAACGAAAAAAGTACCCTGAGCAATATAAGTGACAGTGATCCCTCTAAAATTTGGCTTACAATGATTAGATTGCGGATACATACAATAAATTGATAAAATAATACTGCTCTAAAACTTTCTCTAAAAATTTCCTTTCGGATTCATTTATTTTAAGCATCCAAAAAAAAAAAAAAAAAAAAAAAAAAGGAAATCGACAAATAAATCCAAATTTTCTTAAAATATTGGCTAACATTAGTTAGGATTTCGAAAATTACTTTTTTACCAATCCATAACAATACGAAGGAAATGAATGAATAAGGCAAATACAACAACAAAGAATGCAAGTAATGAATACCTTAATCGACGGATGAAATAAGTTCGATTTTCATTATTACCCTGTGCTCCAACTAACATTCGTTTATACAGTGAACGTTCCTGCTCACGGCATAGCTTCAAACGTGCTTTCAAACGGCGTAGTTCTTTAAGAATAAGCTAAAAAAAAAAATTTTTTTTTGTAAAAACTATTAAGCTAAAGCCTCTCTCTGTTCAAGAACGTTTTGAACATTATAATTAAAAATTGATATGTGCTTAATGTGTATGAAACGAACGAATGCATATTTACATTCTAGTAGAATTGAAATGATTTGAATTTTAAAAATTAACCTCATCATTGGGATCAATCTGATGCGCGATATTCAAAGTATCAATTGCTTCTTCGATAAAATTCAAATTTGCATAAGCATTTGCTCGCCTGAATAGTGCTTTTGTGTTGTTAGCATTCAAATTCAGTGCATTACTAGAAGCGTCCAAAGTTAGCTTCCAATCGCAAAGCTATAAAAAATTATATTAAGAAGTGAGCTAAATTGAATTAACAAGCTAATTATTGTAAATAATACTTAGGATTTGAGATGTAATTGGAAAGTTAATACTTCATAAACATTTATCCAAAATAATCCGCATAAAAAAGAAAAAAAAGATTGGCTACCAAAACAGCTTAGTAATTCGAGAGATACTGATAGTTTAAGCATAATATGAAATATAATATTGATTGAAATAATATTGAAATATTGAATGGATTGTATATGGGACAAAGATCAGTGCATCCTAAGCTCTTTTCTACAATTTTTTAAAATGATTTTCAAAATTAGAAGTATGAAAAATTAATCAAAACAGATAGCAAATCGTGGGAAATCTCGAACCTTTGCATAACAGACAGATAAATTGGAGTAAATCACAGATAATAAATTACGTAGTGTTTCATCTTCTGTAGGTGTATCAATCAATTCGGTACTTCTGAAGAACAGCAAAATTTTTTCAGGAACAAACACTGCAATTTGATAAATTTGAAAGATAATGTAAAATAAAATTCAGCAATGATAATATATTCCTCCTCCCTTCATTTACGATAGAAAAGAAATTTTTAGTCAAAATAAACTGCATGGAATGCTATGAAAGTATTAACAAGCAAAAAAAGAAAAAAAAAAAATTTATCCGCAATCATACCCTTTTTTTTAAATTTCAATTTCATTCCTTTACTTTAAATTATTTTAATTTCAAATTATTCACCTCTTATAAACATATATTGCTTTCTCCAATTCTTTTCTATTGTAGAAATAATTGCCTCTTTCTTTCAATTCCGTAATATGTTTGACTAATTCAGTTGTCTTCAATGTTGTATAAAGTGGTCCATCAGTAATGCAAATCAATTCAATTTCATATTCCATTGTTTGATACGGTGGAATATTACGTTCCGGATCACCTACACTACCATATGCAAAACGATGCTCACTTCTTATGGCATCAATTTCACCTTCATGCATCAATTGCAAAACCATTTCCCATGCTTTAAAAAAAAAAATACAAGTAAAGAGAAGAAAGTAAGTAAAAAGAAAAAAATAAGAGTAATTGTGATTATTTTTATGTAAAACGATACTTACTTTATGTTTTAAATAAAATGAATACACCTAAACTGGCATTAAAAAGTATTTGAAGTTTATTATACACGTGTCCAGCAAAGAATGAATGAAATTTTCTATATGATATCTTATATTTTCTATATAAAAAAATATGCTAAAATTAATATACTTTTCTAATACATAACTAGCCTAAGTCAATTTAAAAGGATAATCTGTTAGATACATAGTAATAAAAGCAATAAAAATTTCAATAAAATATTCTACTTATACTCATAAGATATTTTATTAGTAGTCGATTCTAAGATAAAAGATGAAAAAGAAATATAACATACCATCGATAACCATACTAAAACCAAGAATAAATGTTTTCTCGCTAACATTATCTATTCCAAATCCTGTATCTACAACTCGAACTGTCACCTTCTGACCATTCCGAGCTTTTGGTCCTTTACCAGCTTTCAACACCTGAAATCTATATTCCATTCTAATTTAGTATTGAGCAACTCAATACCAAATTAATTTTTATTGTTTTATAGATCCAAAGCTGATTATAATCTAATTATTCTTTTTTTTTTTTTTTTTTTTTTTTTTTGAGCCAGTTACACTATTTAATTAATTTGAACCATTCATCTATTTCTCGTTTATTTGTTTCAACACTTTTTATTAGAATAACTTGAAAAAAGTCTGAATATTAAAAAAAAAAAAAAATGCATGAGCAATTCAAGAATATATCAAAAGATATAAATTAATACTGCGGGAAACGAATGGTTTACGTTTAAACAGCCTTAAATGAATAAAAAAAAAAAAAATGTTAAAAAATACTAAATTGGATAGACCAGATACATAAAAGTATATTAAACGAAATAGTTCGATGATAAGTCTGATTTAGGCTAAAAATGCTAAATTATATTCAAACAAAATCATTTTAACACTCAGAAATATCTTTATCAACTGATGATATATGTTTGTAGCAGTTAAACCTTTCTAATAAACTAAAAACAATTTTAATTGTATTTGAAAGTTAACTATTATAAAACCATTATCTTATTAAATTGAAAAAACAGTACTTATTAATAAAAGTAATCTACCTTACAAAATAACTGTCCACTACCCAAAATATCGTTCCATTCTTCTGTGGATGTACAGCAATGGATACCATTAGGAACAGAAAGAGATTGCTCTGTACGACATTCTGTTTCAAGGGCATCACTTGATGGACCTCTTGCTTTTGCTGCCAAAGTCTAAAATGCAACAAAGAAAAAAAAAAATGATTAAAATGAAATCATTTTGTTAGAAATTTGAAGTGCAGAAATCAAAAATCTGCAACCAATTAACAGATGTTGTTTTCTTTTTTCTTTTTTTTTTTCAAATAAAGACATTTTAATTGAATTAAAAAAAAAAATTACATGTATTCTTGCAACACCAGCTAGATCAGAATCACTTAATGCAGCACGTTCTTCGTCAACAGAACCATCTAACGATGGTTCACCACTGCTCACTGCACGACGATGGCAATAATTCTAAAAACAGGTATTTAATATAAACTGCACATTGCCAAAACAATTAATTAATTCTTATCAAATTGTAAATTTTTAAAACATTTTTTTTCCTCTCTCTCTCTCTAAAGTTATTTATTTTAAAATATAATTTCGTGCAGATATTATTGAACGTTTGCATATAAATTTATTTATTAATATTATTTATCATTATTAGTCAATATCGCAACATTATGATTAAAGCAAGAGAATAAATTTTGCTGAATACTTTGAAAATTAGCCATATCCATCACAGTCGTTATGTATTTTACCACATAAGAAAATAAGACAAATGTAGGTGAACAGTAATCAATAAAAATAATAAAACAAAGAGGAAAAAAAAGAGAGTGTAAAATGATAAGCAATTAATAGGAACCTCATTTTTATTATTTGCATCAGTGAGTCGTAATTCTTCGTCATCTTCAATCCAGTTACAGGTTGACATACCAAAGTTGTTTCCCAATTTTCAGCCGTTCTTTCTCTTTTTTGTTTTAACGCTCTTTTCTTCAAGTTCTTACTGTTCTTTAAGTGCTTAATTATTTATTTGTTCATCTTTAAAAAAAGTTCATGAAGAATCGAAACAAAAGTATATGAAGAAATCCTAGAATATTTAACCGTAACAGGTCTGTAAGAAAGTAATTTCTAACTTCATTAAAATTATCATAATGCCATAATTAGGGTAGTAGCGTTTTTCATTGAGATTCGATTAGAGGAAGCAAAAATATGGTAGCAAATGAAGTAGTTAAATCAAACTGCTGCTTGAATTGAACATAAAACAATAACATCTAAGTTTAGCCAAATAAAATATTACTATTAAAATAACTAAATAGTATTACTTACAAAACTCAATTAATTTATTAATTACAAAAACTTTTAATTACAGAACTTAATTCATTCTATTACTTCATTATATTTATCAAAATAATCAAAAATAAACATAAAATTTATTACAAATGCAATAAGAATAAAAAGAAAACTACCAAAAATGAATGAATTTAAAAAAACAAAAACGAATAAAAAATTACAAAAATATCACTATCAATCCATTTAAATACTATAAAATATTTTATATAATTTAAAAAAGAAAAAAAGAAAAAAACCTACTAAAAATATGACAAAACCCACTCACAGCAAACTTCAGAAATTACAGAACATCGATGTGAACGATTGAAATATTAGCAATGAGACTGTAAACTTTCAGCATTCACCCACTATGCAATACTTTATGTCTCTACATTTTATTTTTTGTACAAAAATAAAAAAAAAAAGTGAGAATAAACATAGTTGCAAATTTATCAAAAAATTTTCACAATTATTTCTAAAACTTTTCCATTTTTCAAATTTTTTTTTTTTAAATTAATACTATAAAAAATGTTAAAATTTTCTTCATAAAAAAACTATTAATGCATAAATTGCTAAAAAAAGAAAAATTTAATGCTGTAAAAAGTATTATTTGAATTTTTCACTATTAAAATGTATTAATACATGAGTTGTTTAAATTAAAAAAAAAGTTTCATTATTAAATGTTAAAATAATTTTTTTTGATTTTCAAATGATAACAAATTAAAATAAATCTTTTGATGTTTTTTTTTTTTTTCTCATAATTTTTTTTCTTTTTTCATTTTTAATTTAAATATCTTTTTATAATTCCCTTTTTTTCTCATCTTTTTATTTGTATTATATGTTCATTTTTTTCAAATCTCTTATTATTTTACCAATGTTTTTTTGACAGTTTTAAAGATTTAATTATTTTATATGTTTTCTTTTTTTTTTTTAAATATTTGAATAGTTTATTGAATATAATCTTTCTTTTAGCTGTGGCAATGTTTATTTTCAATCTTAGAAAAATATTATTGTTTAATTTATCCAAAATTTTAATTGTTAGCATAGATGCAGTAGTAATTCATATATTTATTACTGGTTATATAAGTTATCATTTTATTTTTCTTTTTCTCTTTATTTCATTTTGTATTATATATTTATCTTTCAATTCTCCTATTATTTTACTAATATTTCTTACTGCTTAATTTTTTAACTATTATTTCATTTTTTAATTATTTTATATTTTTATTTTTAGTCTTATTTATTGATTTTTTAAGATTTATTTATCGTTTTTTTTTTTCAAAAATAATTCAATTATTTTATATTTTTATTTTTTTTTTCTTTTTAATATTTGCTTAGTTTCAAAAGTATTTTGGTTTCTTTTTGAATTTTTTGTTTGCATTTTTTTCATCATTATAGTATATCAATTTTCATCGACTTTCATTTATATCATAAGTTAAAATGTTTTGATTAGTATTACTAAGATGATTGTTCAAATATTCCAATTTAAATGATAATTTTGAAATTAGTATAAGTTTCAGTAATAGCTCAAATTTAATCTAAATCTTATGAAAGGTTTCTTTTTTTTTTTTCACCTTACACTATAAATAATTTGTTAATAGAATAAGTTATTAAATAGCTCTAAAAAAAATTTACTTTAAATTACTTACTCTTAAATTATCAAAATTAACACTCTTTAATGAGCAAAATTTTCCTATCAAATGGAAACAAATTACTTATTATAATGATATGTAATAAAACCCTAAAATTTATTACGATTTAATGCAATTTTGTCTTTTTATTTCTATCAATTCTCTTACCTGAGAAGGCATCTTTCTACTTGAAATTTACCTGAGAAGGTATTTTCGACCTGAAATTTACCTGAGATTATTCACTATTTTTTGACTAGTAGATACCATTCATATCACAATCAATTGATATGATAATGCATTCGCTTCTAACTTTATCTTTTTGCTATCAATTCTATTAAAAATTTACCTAAGATTATTTCATTATTCAAATGATATGATTATCTTTTTTACCTGAAATTTACCTGAAATTATTCATCATGTACTGACAGGTATTTTTCATATTTTAATCAGTGATTTGGTAATACATTCGCTCATGAAAGCAAACATTTATCATCTTTCTTTCCTTTCTTTTTTTCTGTCTAATTTCTATTTTCAACTTTTAATTTTTTTTCTCTCTCTTTCTTTTTTTTCCGTTTCATTTATTTCTCATTTTTCTAGTTTTCCATTCGTATATATTTTTTTTTTTTAAATTTTGAACATTTTCAATTTTCAATTTTTTTTTTTGTATGTGATATATCATACAAAACAAGTACCATCATTCAACAATATTTTTAAAAATATTTGTCGAATGTTTTTGGAATTTTTTTTTTTGTAATTATCAAAAGCTTCACAAATGCACATTTTTTGTCATCATTTCATCAATTTTGAATTGTATTTTATCAAAGTAATTTTGTCGTGCATAAAAATAATTTTATAATTTTTTAATCTTTATTTCAAATAAAAAAAAATATATATAAACGAAATAAAATAAATTGCAATTAATTTAAAAAAAAATTTTTTTTCTTTTTACTATAAAAGAGAAAAAAAAAAGTGTTTTTGATTAAATTAATTAATCAATCATATATAAATTCTCTAATATCAATTTGACCAATTCTTATTTCCTCCCTTTTTTTTTGAATTTAATTTCATATTTCAATTAGATAAACTTTTCCCCACATCCTACATTATTACAATTTAAATTTTACTCTCTCATTTTTTCACTCTTCTGATCTCTTTTAGTTGATACTAAATCAAAATGCATTTTTCTTCGCTTTTTTTTTTTTTTTTTTTCTAATTTTACGCTATTATCGTTTATTTCTACTTACCTATGAATACAATTGTTCTTATCTTTTCTTTTTTTCTAGGCTAAAATATTTATTATCTATTTTTACCTTCCAAAAAAAAGAGAGAGAAGAGAGAGAGAGAGAGGGTGAAAAGAAAAGAAAGAAAGAAAAGAGCATTCCAAAATAAATCATACATATTGCCTAAAAAAAGCAAAAAAAAACTGTTATTTTTGAGAATGATTCCATTCATTTATGTACGACGAATATAAAATGCAAAGAAAATTTGTGAGCGATCATTTTGTATAATTTTTTTTCCGTTTTTTTCATACGTATATTTGTATCGAAATTTTATATCTTTCTTCCTTTTCTGTCCTTTTTTTTTTTTTTTTTTTCATCAATGATAAAAATGAATGGAAAGAATCAATAATATATTTAATATGGAAGTAGAAAGAGGAGAACTGAGAGAGCTGAGGAGAAGGGGAGGGTAGATGAGATGAGGGGGAGGGCGAGGGGAGCGGGGAGGGGGTCAAAAATCGAAGAACATCTCATAAATGATTGTTTAATATTGGCATACCTTTTTTTACATTTCTCACTCTTCCATTTTCATTTTCTTCTCAATTTCAATACCTGTTGTAAAATATGTTACATTTTTAAATAGCACTAATCATTATCATTATAATTATATTCAACCAGTGACTATCATTATCACCAATCGCTATCATTATCACAATCGTTATTTAATCATTGTTATGATCATCATCTAATCATCATCACCAACATCATTATTGTTATTATCATTAGCACTGTCATAATCAACCATCATTATGTAATTATCACAATTTATCAGCATTATCTAATCATCATATTCATCATAATCGTTATCATCATAATCATTATTATCGTCTAGTGATCATTATCAGCATAATCCCATAACATTGTTACTGTTACAATTTTAAATAGCACTATTATCATCTTAATCGTCATCATCATCATCATATAATCATTGCAACCAATAACTATTATTATTACCAATCGCTATTGTTATCGCAATCGTTATCACAATCGTTATTTAATCATTATTATAATCATCATCTAATCATCATCATCAACATCAGCTCATACATCTCATGCTAGTAAATCAGAAATTTTACAATTTTAAATAGCACAATTATCATTATAATTATCATTATCATACATTATCATAATTATCACAACTACTATTTTTCATATCTGCTATACTTGTTAGATGTGAAATGTTATATAATTTGCAGCAAACTGTCATATTTTAAAATAACAAAAGTGTCTATTATTTAGGATTAAAAAATGCATAAAATAATTTTGATAAAATAAATAATAAAGTAATTATATCAAATTCCCAATAATTAAATAAATAAAAAAATGAAAAAAAAAAAAAAAAAAAAAGATTATAATAGAAATGTAAGAATTTGATAAATTATTACAATATATATATATATGATAGAAAATAGAAATTTAAATTTTGCATCCTCCTTCATTAGTTCAGTTTTTTTTCATTTGTATGAAAAGAAGGAAGTAATTTATAAAGGAAACCTGAAAATGTTTTTCACTTCATTGCTGCTTGCTCCTTACTTACATTTCACCTCCACCCTTCTTCATCTTATCATTTTTGCTCTAATGTGATGCTAAGGAAGAAGAATGATAGTTTACAGATTGTTATCAATTGATAAAAAAAGAAAGAAAGAAAGAAAAAAAATTTTTGTTCATTTTCATTGCTCCATTTCTAAATGATTTCTTATATTTTGCGCATTTTTTCAACAATCTTCCGATCCTGTTTGTTGAAATTTTTTATTTTTTTTTTAAGTAATTTCTTCACTTTTATTTCTTTCAAAATAATTATTTTTGTTTTATTTTAATATTTCCTTTTTTTTTTTTTTTTTCACCTATTTTCTTGATATTCAATCATTTTATAATGTTAACAAATTAGATAATTACCAATTACAAATTTAAATTAATAGCTGAAATTTTAAGATAAATTTTCAATATGAATAAGATTTTTTTTGTTAACATTACAAATTGCTTTATGTAAATAAAATTTCATGCTTTATGAAATATCGTTTTAATCGAATTACTAAAATAATTTTATCATACAATAAATAAATTTTACGATATTTATACTTCTAATATTTTTCTAAAAAGGTAATAATGCCATTTATTAGACTTATGTATTCTTTATATTTATGAGAATTTTGTAAACTTTTTGTATTTTTTTTTTCCTTTCTTATTGAAAATATCTTACATTTATCTACTACTATTTTATAGTTCTTTTTATTACTTCAAAAAAAAATTTTTTTTTAAGCTCATTATTGTATAGCTAATTTAATAAATAACTTTATTGTATTATCATAAGTTTTAGATAGTTAAAAACTTAGCTTAAATCATACTTAACTATATTATTATATTATTTTTCACATTTTATAAATCATCCACATAGCAATAAAATTTTAATGAACGTATAATCATATTTTCATTTTTACAAATTTAAGAAATAATGAGAGGAGAAAAAATTTCCTTTCACTGATAATACTTTTTCATTTTCTTATCTTCTTTATCAGTGAAAGAAAATTTTATTTTTATCGTTTCCATCATACATATTTTTTCCATATTTGACAATCATACCAATAAAGCTTATCAAATTGTATAATTTAATAATATTTCATATTTATATTTTAGGAATGGAATATTTTTCAAGAAAATATATTTCTAATAATAGCCTTATGATAAGCTATTATTTGAAATATCTGATAAGCTTTTTTGTGATATCATTTACTTTCCTTTATTTAGCTAATTTAACTTTCTTTTCTTTTTTTCGGAATTTTTTTGTTTTAGCATTACTCTTAAACATATTATTAATCTTTAATTTATTTCCTATTCAAGAATAATAATGCAATTTTGAGTGTAGAAGTTAATAAATTGTTTAGTTTATTTTTTTACTTTTTTTAAATTATGATTTTTTTAAATAAGTTAAGTGATTATTAAATAATTATTATATTCGTTGCTTTCTCAATCACTAAAAAAATCAGTATTAGCCTAATTCATCTTTATTATTGTAGTATTAAATTTAATTTTTATTTTTCTATTTTTGTTTACGTTTCATATGTAACAAATTATACGCAAATATTACTAAAATTTAAATAATAAATCAAATTAAATAATTATGAAAGAATTATATTGTTGTAATTGATTTTTAAGTTGTGATTTTTTTCATATTTATATAGGTATATTACATTGCTGCTAATCATTTAAATAATCGGAATATGTTATTAACTTTATTTGGTTATTGTTATTGTTGTTGCTGTTATACTGTTATTGTTTGTGTTATTGTTGAGATATTTGAAGTTGTGATGAAAAAGAAGGAAAAAAGAAACTAACAATAAAACATTAGCAATAACTGATTGAATGAATGAATAATTCCTTCATATTAAATTTAACCATTTACTATAAAAGAAAATTATTTTATTTTATAGCATAAAAATTTATAATTAAACAAAAAATTTGTAAACAAACATATAATGTCTAATATTAATCTTTTTTTTTTTTCTTTCAAATGTAAAAAAAAATTCAATCAATTTAAAATGAAAATAAAGAATTTTTATTTTCTTTTTTGTAATTTTAAACGGATGGTAATAATAATAATAATAATAATAATAATAATAATAATAATAATAAGCCATTTATCATTTTTTTTATAAAACTGTGAAATATTTTCCCTTATAAAATTACAAAATATCTTTTTTTTATTTTATATTTTACAAAATTATGTTTCAATATTTCATTGTATTTTTTATTTGTTTCAAAATTATATTTTTTTCTTCACGTTAAATTTTATTAAAATACTAAAATCATGCTTCCCCTTTTTTTTTTTTTTTTTTTTTACAAAATTATCGAACATTTTTGCTTTATAAAATAAATTTATCTTTAAACAAAGAAAAAAAAAATGTAAGAAATAGATGGTGTAATGAATAAATAGAAACAAAGAGATACAAAAAAAGGAAAAAATAGGTTAAAAGTTAGTTCTTCTTCATTTTTCTTTCTCTCTGTATCTCTTATTTTAGATTCAATTGAAATATTTGGTTCAATTCAAATGTTTAAATTCAGTTTAAAATTTTGCATTCAATTTAATCTCTTTTTTTTTCGACACAAATTTAAATCTTTGCTTTCAATTCAGCTCCTTTGATTTAATTCAATTTTTTAAATTCAATTTAAAATTTTTTCAACTACATTTTTTTTTTTTACAATTCATCGTTAACTTACTCATCATTTATACATTCATTTTGTATATTGTAATAAAAGAAAAGATAGGAGAGTGAAATAAAGTGCAAAAATGACAACAAAAAAAAAAGGAAAGAAAGGAAAAAAGAAGAGAGAGAGGGAATCATTAACAGGTTTCCCTTCTCCCTCTCTCTCTCTCTCTCTCTCTTTAAATCACATCACAAAATTATTTGTGAAATACAAGTAGTAGTAGTAGTATCAGCAATACAAATAACAGAGTAACAGCTGGTACCAAAAAAGAAAGGAAAAAATTTCTTTTTTCTATTTTAAATAGGGTACCAATTTTTTTTTTTTTTTTTTTTTAAAATGGTAACAAACATTTATTATCAAATCAATTCATCTTTTCCTCTTCTTTTTTGCTTTTTTCTTCTCTTTTTTCGTGTTAATTTTAATAGACTTTCTTTGTTTTTTTTTTTCTTTTTTTCCAAGAAAATATATTTCATTTTTAAAAATATTTCTTCCCCTCCTCTCTTTTTCTTTTCCTCTCTCTCTCTCTCTTCATTTCTGTTTGTTTGTTTACTACAATGAATGTGTTATTTTTGTTTTGTTTTGTTTTGTTTTGTTTTTTTCACTCATCTAGTTTCTCCATCGCAGTGTTTCTTTCTTCCTTTTTCATCTTCTCATTTTATATTATTCATTCTTTAAATAAGTTACTCTCTCTCCCTCTCCCTCTCTCTCTCTCTCTCTCTCTTGTTCTTGTCATTATCCTTATTTTATCATATATAACATTTTTTGTCGTCGTTTGCTTTCTTTTTTCCCAAGCATATCATATTACTGCATGAAATTGGATAAATTCATTTTCATTATTAACTTTATTTGTTTACTTATTTACTTACTTATATCTAAAACTACTTTCATCTAAACTATATCATTTTTAAAGGTAAAAAAGTATGAGTAAATTAAGAATTGTAAATGAAAGATATTTTATTTGAAATAAAAAGGATAAATTTATCATTTACATTTCTATTTTATCTTAAAATACAATAAATCAATCGATTAATAATGTATTTTATCAGTAAAAATTGCACAAAATAATTCGAAATCAATCAAAATTTGTTTTAATGCTTGTTTACAAAATAAGAAATTAATGATTGATCACATATATATTTCAGAATTGAATTTACTCGAGAACTAGATTCTTACTCGAGAATTAAATTTACATTTACCTTACCATTTTCAATCCTTTCAAATACACCATTTATAACCTATATCTAAGTTTAGAAATTTTTTTCTATTGGTTGAAATATTTCTTTCTTTCTTTCTTTTCCTCCCTCTCCTTCCATTCTTCCTAATTGTAGCAAAATGGGCGCTTTTGATCGAATTGGTCGAATGATTAGTCATCTCTTCCATTCTCATCTCTTCTTTTTATAAAACATACCTTTTTTTTTCTCTTCCTTTCTTCGTGATTATTCATTTGTTATCTGTGCATGTGCATGTGCGTGTGCGTGTGCATGTGCATGTGCGTGTGCGTGTGCATGTGCATGTGCGTGTGCGTGTGCATGTGCGTGTGCATGCACATGCACATGCACATGCACATATTTGTAGGAACAATTTTAATAGCTCACTGAGAGAATTACTAATTAATAAGATAAAAAAGGGAAAGTTATAATAGATATATGTTATTGTTTATTTGTTTACCATTATTAGTAATAAATAAAAATGATAATGCTATTGTTTATTTATTAGTTAGGAAGTAGATAAAAAAGAAATGACTGATATGAGAAATACTCGTACTTATAATTCTTGCAACTCTATGACCCTACCATTTTCTTTATTTTATTTTTTTTTTTGTTTTTGTTTTTGGTTAGGATTAGTTTTAGTTTTTTTTTTTTTTTGGTTTTTTTTTAATTAGTTTTTTTTTTTTATTTCATTAGTTTTATCTTTTCACTTTTGAAGTTCAATTTTTTCTCTTTTTTTTTCGCTCTTTTTCATTATTATTATATTATTTCGAATTTTCTTTTTTCTTCCATATCTCCATTTTGATATTTCAAATCGGATGACTTGTTAATTAACATATATAAATTGAAGCAACTGATGAATGTATTCAATCAAGTGATATATTATTGATAATGATGTAATAATACTCATAAATATTTGCTATATTAAATAATTCATTTCATTGATTTCTATTGAAATATTTCATTTCGTATATTCTATCAAAATATTTAATTTTATATATTATCGCAAAATTCCAAGTGTCAACAGAATGCTACTAATATAGCAGTAAATTAGAAAAATTCATTTCGATAAAATTATTTTTCCATACTATAATGTGAATAATTTCCTGAATTTCTCGCTTTACTGATGTGAATAATTTCTGAATTTCCTGATTTCCTAATTTGAAGAATTTCCTGAAATAAGCTTGTGAAAGTTTTTTTCAAAAGAAAAAAAAATATAGTACTTACTCATGTAAAAAAGTTTACAATCGAAATTAAAATGAAATTGTATGTAAATTTTAACATATCAGTGTCTATTTTAGCAGTATGCAATCATAAATAAAAAGAAAACACAAATGTTATTGTTGTAGAAGTATGATTAGATAATTCGTCAGAATTTATTTCTTACATTGTATTTTATAATTAAATAATTAATAATGTAACTATTCATTAAAGTAATCTTATTTAATGTATTTGAGGAATGCTAATATAAGGATTATATTAAATTATATTGGAGGAGTGTATATTCGATAAGTTTATATTCTTTCATGATTTACTGATATGTTAATAAATTCTTGAAATAAGCTTGTATAGCTTTTGAAAAGAATCAAAGTGATTCTTATATATTCACTTAATCTATCAATTTTACAAATCTCTAAAATGTGCTAAAATATTAAATAAAAGTAATTTTTTTTTTGGCTTATGTAAAAGTAAATTTTTACCATATTTTCCCTAACAGTTAATTTTATTTATACTCTGAAATGTTTTCAATTGTTTAATAGAATAAAAAAAATATGGACTTCATCTATCTAATATATGTATATTTTCTATTTCAAGTACATCACGTGATATTGTATATATATATTTACGTGAAATTTTTCATTATTCATTGTTTGGTTGACGAGAAATTTACACATATTCTTCCCAAATTTTACGATTTTTATTTTCATAATGTCACATGGAATCAAAGCAATGAGAAGAAATGAATGTGATAGAAAATGCTGAGTGAATTCATTTAAAATTAAAGTTACTAGACACTTTTATCATTATTATTATCATTATTGTTATTATTATTATTACTGTTATTACTATCAATTATTATTACTATTTCACTATTAATTAATTTTAAATATATTATTTATTATTATCAATCATTACTATTGTTGTTATTATTATCATTACTATTAATTAATATTATTTATCATCATTATCAATCATTATTATTATATTGTATTTATTAGAGAAATTTATTATGGATGATATTTAGATATTTTAATACAAACAAAATCCCACTTAGAATTGTGTAGTATGAATTCTCTTATATTCACTTAATCTATCAATTTTACAAATCTCTAAAATGCGCTAAATTAATGCGATTAATTTTGTTTTTCTCATCAAATCAAGATTTAATTATTTATGACCTACCTGAAACAAAAAAAAGACGAAAAAATCTATGAGAGAATTATATCGATAACCGAAATATTCTGCACTTATACTATACTTTCTTACTTATTACTTATACTTCTTTAATTTATACCAATAAATAATATGATGAGTATATTTAGATAAAACTGAAATATAAACTCAGTCTTTCTTCTCCCTTTTTTTCATTAATATATTTGATGTGTTAATCAAATATATAATTTCTAGTCTTTTTTTTTTTTTCATAACAATAATTGAATTTCAAATTTTGAAAAATAAAAAAAACTCATTTGATTGCATTATATATTCTGTTACTGCTGTTTTCCATATGGTTTTGCAATAATTTGGAATCATTTTTGTGGATGACAGCTTTTTTATTCTTGGAAGGACAATTTAAGGGAAACAAAGAACTGAATGATGTGAAAGACTAATCTACCATAAAAATAAAAAGTATTTATTAAAAGATATATTTTTATATATGAAAGTAGGACTGAAATATAAAAAAAAAAAGTTGTGCTTTCTCTGGATTTTTTGATGGCATTTTTCTCCTTGTTTTTTTTTTTTTTTTTGTTGTTTGCTTGTTTGTTTACCGTTTTTTTTCCTGTTTATTTGTCTTGCCTTAGTTGAGAAAAAAGAAAAAATAATATTGTAATTAAAGATATCTAATCATTTTGTTGTAAAATGAATTATTGATTGATTGAATTGTATTTCTTATTTTAGAGTTGTATTTTTTTATGTTTTTTTTTTCTTGTATTTTTGTTTTCTTATTTTGTATAATTGTATTTTCTTTATTTTTTAGTGAAATGTAACACTAAAAAAACAAAGAAAATAAAAAAAAAAAACACAAGTTAATATGAAGTATTACCTGAGAATATATTAAATGAGAAAAGTAAGGCTCTTCTACCTATCATTTGCTTACTTTATTAATAATTCGATTAAGCTTTACTTTAATTTATCTTTATGTTGAAGTTATTTATTGATTTCTCATTAACACTTTTCAAATTACATTTGGATAGATAGTTTTTTGAAATTTTCCCAAGCGTATCTTTCATTTTTCTTTCCCTCCATTCTTTTCTAATATATTACTCGGCGATATTTCCGGTAAATTGATTCCGATCGGGTTTGATTGTATACGGCACAGAATATCTCACCATAATTTATCTGAGAGACTTTTTTTTTTCTATATTATTTCATTTTTTTTTTTTTTTCTTTTTTTGTATATCTATGAAAAAAAGTAGTAAAAAAAAAACAAAAGGAATTAGAAGAGAATTGAATGATCTGATTCGCTGTTAATCAAGTATTACTATATGAAAATTTTTATGAAAATCTTATATGTTTGTTACTTTTTATGAAAATCCATAATTATATAAACAATTAGTAAGAAAGTAGTATTTTCAGTTAGTATTATCGATACCGGAATCAATATCATTGGGAGTTAGTATTACAGGAAATAATGTCAGTTATCAGCGATCAATCTGGAAGTTAGTAATACCGGAAATATCGACATCAGAGATCAACCTGGGAAACTTCACCTAATTTAACATTTTATATTTCCTAATGCAGTTAGCAATTTCTTTGGTTATCTAGCTGTATGAGTATTGCTTAGTTCGTCATAAAGCTAGACGACCGGAGTAATAGCTTCTGTAATTGACATCTTTTATTGTCACGACGTCCTTAAAGTCTTTACTAGCTTCTGCTAAAAAAAAAGAAAAGAAACAAAGAAGCTCCAAATAGTTAAAATTGATTACGATCACGTGTATTACATTGATGAAATGACATGTATCACGTGAAATGGCGTGTAGAGATTTGTAAAAAGAAAGACAATAATAGATTTAGACAATCGTCGTTACTAAATTGAAATAATTGAAGTGACAAGACAGAGTTTAAAATGTTGGAAAAGTAGGAATTATATAATATTTTACAAAATTAGGATAATTAGAAGAAATTTAGGGACTAAAAAAAATTAGGTTTCTTTTAAAGAGTAAAAATAATGAGTGAATTAGGGGAGTAAACTGATTATGGTCAATTAATATTTCTGGATAATATATGTAATTTTAATAAATTTTTGATAATCAATTAGCTATTGTGATTTTTTTTTTTTCTAATACTTACAGAATTCACTGGAATATATATTTGTAAAGTATAGCAAATTTAGATTTGGAAAATGATTTTATATGTTGGCCATTTTTATTGATGCATGTTAGGACTTAGATTTTGAAATTCTCAGTGATATATTATTCATTTATTGACAAATCTCAATTTATGATACATTTCGGGTTTTTAGAAATATGCATATCTTTAATAGATTTTTAATTTTAGGTATTTAGAAATATGCATGTCTTTAATGGATTTTTTAATTTCAGGTGTTTGGAAAATATGTGTTTTTTAATGGATTTTTTAATTTCACATATTTAGAAATATGTATATCTTTAATAGATTTTTGAATGTGTGTTAATTTGCAGTGCTTACAAACTTTCACTCTTCAAATAGTTCTCAAAAAAAAAAAAAATAAATCTATTTCTATTTATTATCACAGTTTATAATTTCTGACAAAATTTCGCATAAATTCAAATTTTCTTTCACTGTGAATCAAGAAAGAAATCTCTAAATAGGTTTGCAAAAATGAAATGAGAAATTAATAATTTTTAATATTACAAAATCAAGCACAAATCATTAAAAATCATAATACCTTCACTTTTTTCAAGGGACGTATCGATGATACCTGTAAAGTTAATGTGTACAAAATAATTAACAAAATATAATTACATATGTTATCACAAATATATTAAATAATTTTACGCTACTATCACTTACATTCATGGACATACGTACGTAAATTAAAAGATTTCAATTATACGTACGTACTTTTACCATCAAGACAACATATACAATCATACTTCAATTATAATAAAAGTTATCTTTTTATATGTATATTTTATACGAAAGATAATTATTAAAGGATATTTTATTTACATTACCTTAATATTAATATTAGTTCAAGAAGAGTGAAATAATATTTACCACCGGTAGGATTAATTCTTATTGAAATTAATTTCATTTCAATAACAGGTATGTTCATTTTTGTACTGTTCACTTTCTGTAATTTATAAATTTAATTCAAAAGATGTTGAAATTATTTTTTTTTATCTCTTATCATGCGTATTTTTTCTTTTTTTTTTTTTTTTTTCTTTATATTTTATACTTTGGCAAAAAAGAGAAAAGAAAGGAAGAAAATACCGATAAAATCTAAATAGAGACTAATTCATTTAAAAAAATTTAGGAAAATGAGAATTGAAAAAAAAAAAAAAGGGAAAACTAGATTAAAGATGATGGTACCTGGTGGTACGTATTTTATATATTATCCATCACCTCGAATTCAATGAATTCATTCGTCAAAATGAGACTTTATGTGCACAGATTACGCATATCGTATGGTAGAAAGGAAGAAAAAAGAAAAAAAAAAGGCGTAAAGTTTATCAAATTTTTGAAATGTAAATTATAGCATTTCTTTTTTTTTTTTTTCGAAATGAATTAAGCAAATTTTCATATTATTCATTTTATTATTTAAAATAATTATTTGAAATTAAAGTACTATTTAAAATAACATTATCTTCCATGTATGTGCATGTATATTTAAAGTGTAAATTCTTATGAATGATAAAAAAATGTACCATCCCCCACATCTAATATCAAAATTTTAGATTATATGAAGTCATAAAGATCAAAAGAATTTCTCGTCTATGTAGTATAAACAAATATTATTGAATACCGACTATTAAAATTGGATAATCGTAATGCATTGTCATTGATATCGTGATTGGAAACAAAGGAACAATAGCGCTTTTTGTTGTATGTCAGATATTTTTGTGTTTATTGCTGTACATTTGCGCCGGTGAAGAAAGCAGCTACATCAATCAATAAATGCACAATAAAGGCAATAATTTATGATTGGAATTCTACATGCTAATGGATAATCAATCAATTTGAAAGCATCAAAATTCATTTGTGCAATTTATATTTGTTTTTTGATCGATTAATTGAAATATTGGTCAATAAATATATGTTTTCTTATTTTTTTTTTTTTTTATTGATTGTTAATATTAATAATTAAATTTATCTTATTGGAATTGTAATTGTTAAGTATGTTGTTGTTATTAATCGTTTATTTTATCGGAATAAAAAAAAATTTAATTTGTCATAATTTGTGATTAATCCAAGAAGAAAAGAATCAAAAAGACAGAATTATCTCTCTCTTTCAAACAACATTTTTTGAAAGTAACATGCATACGAGTGACATACACTTTAAATAAATAAATAAACATTTATATATATATATATAAATATAGTCTTTATACAGGAATCGTATATATCAATTCAAACGTGTTATCATATCAGTCTACGTTTCATAGTAATTAATTCAGTTTACATTCCATTCATATTTTTTGTTTGCTAAAATATAAAAATATTACTGAATCAAAATAAAATGCCAAAATATAAAAATATTATTTTTATGATAGATCAAAATAAAATCTCATTGTGTTTTCTTTGCACTATACAAATTTCATACTTGTTAACATTGAAAATTTAGGAAAAAAACTTAAGAGAAAAAGAATAAAGATTAAAAATCCAAGAATGATATTTATTACTGAAATCTGAAATTGTTCAAAATATTGATATTTACGCTACAAATTTTCAATACGCTATATAAATCAACACTGATAGCAGAGGTTTTTTCTGCATAAAACATAAATGTTTTCTTTTTTTTTTTTTCGAACTTATCTATTTATCAATTAGTATCATTTATATGTATTCTTTATAATAATCATTCTTTTTCAAAAAATATTCCATAAATTGAAATGATTTTAAAAACTTTCTCATAGCATAAATGTTATTTGTATATCTCTTTACTTTATGAATAAATGGTTTCACAAAAAAAAAAAAACAAACTAAAAAAGAAAATTTAAATTATTTGACATTTCATACATCATAAGCATAAAGAATTGCAAATACAGGTAAGCGCTGTAATAAAAAAAAAAAAAAAAAATATGAAATTGAGGAATTAGATTGCGAAAAAAATTGCTCAAATTATTAAAATTTAGTTAAATTTTTGATCATAATGATAAGCAAGAAAATATAAAATTGGAATTCTATGCTTTTTTATGAAATTAATATATTTTATAGTTTATCACTGATAGCTTCAAAATTAAAATAATGCAAATGAAATCACTGAACAAATGTAATGATAAATGTCACATAGTGATGATAAATCTTGTACAGATTTACTATTTACATTCTGATAAGTCACAAAAAAAAAAAAAAAAAGATTTTTATGAGAGGGATATAAAATTTTTCTTTATTAAAAATAATTAGCTATCAATGAACTTATATCGGAATTCATTTTTGCTACAGTGAGTGAGCTAAATGAAATCTAATTATGATACTTTTTTAATTGACATGAATCGAACGTATATTCCATCTAATCTTTCCAGCATTATTATTTAATCATAAATCAAACAATCTACAGAAATATGCTTTAAAATAAAAAAAAAAAAAAAAAAAATTGCCATTTTAAGGTATTTCAAACGCTACGCTTTAAAAAAATATAAATTCTTTTAGAATTTCTCTTAAAAAAATGTGAAAATTTTCTTTGTATATAAAAATTATAGGTTCGAAATATTCCTGGAAAACGTTGTCAATTCAGTACAGTACATTGAAGACTTCTGTAATAATTTGTTGTTTGAAGAAAAAAAAGAAACACAGTTTAATGGAAAAATTAGAATATTGAATGCTATAAGAATATTTATTCACCAGTAATCTTTAATATGAAAATGAAAATTTAAATACAAATGTAAAAGATGCGAAAGGGAATAAGTTAATTTCATCATCTGAAATACATGTGGAAAATATATGGAAATTATTGCATCAACAATGAAATAATAAAATAATTAAGAAATTATCAGATTAAATCATTTTAATTATTTGATTTTGTTACAATGATTGTAAAAAGAATTAAAATTGAAAGTGACTGTTCCATTTAGCAAGCTAATTGTAATAAATTTTCAAACAGTAAATAAACTAACTACCAAATATTATTAGTATAATTAGTTTGATGCTAAATATCTAATATAAATTCAGTAATTAATTAATTGCATTCAATAGTCATATGCTCAAAATTTGCATAAAAAATGATAAGATTTAACGTACGACTGGTGGTAATTTCTCATATTCACTTGTATTATTTCAAGTTTTATTTAGAAATAACCCAAAAAAATTGTCTGAGATTACATTTGCAAAATTTTGTTGACAAAGAAAACGAAATTCAATAATTGCAAACTTATGTACAGTAAGAAACTGATTACTGTAGTATGGAGAGGAAGAAAGAGAATTATTCCGTTTGATATTGGGAGCAAAAAGTGCTTATTGCAATACATAACGGCGCTCAATGTGCACGTAACTGCTTCATTCTTTGACATTCTCACTTTTTGTTTTGTTTATTGTTTTTATTGGCTATTTACATCTATCTTATTGTTATAGTTTTCATGATCTTTTGTGGGATTTTTCTTCTTTCAAAATAAAATGTCAAAAGTTTTCATTTCAATTTACAATTTTAAAATATGTGTTAGAAACTACAGTTTCAATTAGGCTATATTTACATATATATCTTAATTTGTATATCAAAAGTTATTTAGACTCTATTTACTTATATATCTAAAAGTAAAATCTTATGTTTTACAGGCGGAAAAATAACTTATGATATACTAGCGAATTTCATAAGCTTTTATTAAGCAAATTTTCAATGGATAGTCAGTGCAGTTAGTTTATTAATGAATTTAAGTTAGATAACATCGACAGTAGTTTGTTTGTTTTCGAGGATTTTTTTCGCCATTAATTTGTTAAATAATTTTTTATAATTAATTTTCTTTAATTCTTTTTGCGATTATCTCAACGAAATCAAATAAATTGAAATAATTTAATTTGATAATTTGTTGATGACTTCTTTATTTCAATGTTGATATAATGTTTCTCACACATATAATACAAATAAAACATAGCAAGCAATTACACTATCGGAAGGTATTTCAGATTTTGAAATGAACTTAAAAGATAATTTCATTGTAAACAATGCATATAAATGATCTGCTCATCAAATCGTCTATGATCACTGATTGAAAATGATATAATCAGTTCACAATTTGTTATTACTTTTCACATGCAGGTAATTTTCCAGTTTTCTAATAGCTTCATTTTATCCAATTATTTGATGACATAACATAATTAAAATTCAGAATAATTTCAGAATAATTCTGAGACAAATGAGAAGAATTAATTCAATTAAGGTACAATCTTGTGTGAAATGAAAATATACGAGTTCTTAATTTCTTTTTTTCGTTTATTTTTTTTTGAATAGCTCCATTTTTAAAAAGTTTTAAGAAAGATGATAATTTTAAGACAGAATTTTGAGAAAATTTAGAAAGAAGGAAAACTTTTTAAGAAGAAAATTTTAAAGAATCTGTGAAATCAGTGTAAAAAACTGATATATTCTGCGAGGAAACAAAAATTTGAGCTTTTGTCATTCATTATTTCTCTTATAAAATGAAAATATACGAATTCTTGTTTTCTCTTTTTCATTTGACTTCCGTCTTTCGGATTCCTTTCACTAGTACGCTGATCTTTTCAGTGTTAAAATGTGATTATCAACCTTTATCACTTGCATATTAACAATTCTAATAGTTTCACTTTATCAAATTAAGAGTGTTTCGCACAAACAGCAATGGTTTCTCTTCCAAAATAGACACTCTTCCATCTTCCATTCTATCACAATTCGACAGTATTACTGCAATCATAAAAATAATTATGTAAATTCATTTCTTCCAGAATTGAATAAAACCAACAAATGAAATTAAGAAGAGTGATCAAATTCCTGAAATGATTAGTCATTCAAAATTCAAAAATCTCAACTAATTTATTCTTTATGAAGAAAACATACATTCTTCCACTTGCCTCGTTTGTATTAATGAGCCATCATTCCATAACTTGTCAACTTTATAATCTGTGATAATCTCCGCGGCTGAAATTGATGCCAGGGAATATCTGATCAACATAACATTGTTGAGATAACTTGAAATGATTATTACTATTTTATCATTTTCAACAGTCCATAATAACAAGAATCATTTTAATTGTACTACAAAAGTAAAACGTAAGGGGCATTCGAACTGAAGTCACTTCCACGTCAAATGCCGTTTCAGCAGGAATTTTAAATAAAAAGTTGGAGCGTTACAGAATACATAAAATATAACCTAGGCTTGTATTTCATGATACATATACTTGGAAGAGAAGTGAAAAGATGAGAATCATACTCTCTCCATTTCCTTGTCTTGCTTGGTTACCAGCTTGGCCACAATAAATGATAAAAGCAATATATACCAATAACTTTGTCATATCAAATAAGTTGTATTATAATTTATATTTCCTAAAATTTTACTCCCAAGTACTACATTATTTGATAATAATAACTTTTGAAGTTTGGTCGAGAAATATCGGTGCACAAAGTCTTCATTGATAAATGTATATCCAAGAGCATTTTCTTAAAAACGGATCAAAAAAAAAAAATGAACGACCAAACTGATTACAATTGTTGGAGATGAAAAAAATAGCGTCTTTAATACTTTGGCAATGGAATTCTTTTGCTCTATTTTCTTAATTTCTCGATTTGAGTAGAAAAAGGAAGAACAAAGTTAGTAGAACATAGAACAACAAAAGTGCTTCTTTATTAACTAGTGATAACAATTTATCATTGTTTTTTTAACTATAAAAACAGTTGACAAAAAAAAAAAAATGTAAAATTGATAGGAAATAAGGAAAATTTCTGGTAGAAATTAACAGGATTTTGCCACTTGATAGTGTGTTTTTTCTCTGAAATCTTAAAATGCAGTCCGAATTTTGAAAGTAAATCTATTGATTTTCATCTGAATTTTAATGTCACGATTATTTCTATTAGATTTTTAAAATTAATAAAGCTGATAGCGATTGAGAGTTAGTAATAACTTAACAGTGAGCAATTGTACATTTATTAACTTTTGAAGCAAATAAATGTATATTTGTAGTGACATTTTAGTTTAAAAAGATCACTTGTAAACTGATATATCCGTGTTTTTTTTTTCTTTTTTTCATTTTAAAAAACAATTACTTTTTTTAAAAAAGTTTTCAAGCAGTCTCTTAAAATCAATGTAAAAACTGATAAGTTGAAAATCTTATTTTTTGCTGCGAGGTAACAACAATTTAAGCTTTTATCATTCATTATTTCTCTTATAAAATGAAAAATACGAATTCTTGTTTTTTCTTTTTCATTTGACTTCCGTCTTTCGGATTCCTTTCACTAGTACGCTGATCTTTTCAGTGTTAAAATGTGATTATCAACCTTTATCACTTGCATATTAACAATTCTAATAGTTTCACTTTATCAAATTAAGAGTGTTTCGCACAAACAGCAATGGTTTCTCTTCCAAAATAGACACTCTTCCATCTTCCATTCTATCACAATTCAATAGCATTGCTGCAATCATCGAAATAATTATGTAAATTCAAAACTGAATTTAATTATTCAAAATTAAAAAGTACTAATAAGTCAATTCTTTATGAAACAAACATACACTCTTCCACTTGCGTTGTTTGTATTAATGAGCCATCATCCCATAACTTGTCAACTTTATAATCTGTGGAAATCTCCGCGGCTGAAATTGATGTCAGAGAATGTCTATCTAACCTTGCTTTGAAATTATTATTGCTATTTTATTCTTTTTAACTTATCAGCCCTTAATAACACGAATCATTTCAAATTTTTTACCAAAACAATCGAGTAGTAAAGTAATTCACATTATCTGCAAAATTAAAAGTAAGTGGCATTCGAACTGAAGTTACTTCCACCGTCAAATGCTGTTTCAGCAGAAATTTTTGAAATATTACGGAATGCACAGAGCGCATACCTAGACTTGTGTTTCATGATAAACATACCTGGAAGAGAAGTGACAAAAAAGGAAAGATGCATACCTGCTACAACTGGTCTAGCTGCTTGGTTAGCAGCTTGGCCACCACAATAAATAATGAAAGCAATATATACCAACAACTTTGTCATATCAAATCAGTTTTATTATAATTAATATTTCCTAAAGTTTTACCTCTTAGTACTACATTATTTGGGAGTAACAAATTTTGAAGTTTGGTCGAGAAATATGGGTTCACTGATAAACATAGTTTCTAAGAACTTTTCTTAAAAATGGGAAAAAAATGACCGAACTAATTATAATAGTTGGAGATGAAAAAATGGCGTCTTTTATACTTTGACAGTGAAATCCTTTTGTTCTATTTTCTTAATATCTCGAGTTGAATGGAAAAAGGAAGAACAAAGTTAGTAGGACGTAGAACGACAAAAGTGCCTCTTTTTTATAGCGATAACAATTTATCATTGTTTTTTTAATTGTAAAAACAATTGACAAAAAAATGTAAAAATTTCAATTTTTTTTGATAGAAATTAAGAAAATTTTCTGGTAGAAATTAACAGGATTTTGCTATTCAGTAGTGTGTTTTTTTCTCTGAAATCTTAAAATGCAGTCCGAATTTTGAAAGTAAATCTATTGATTTTCATCTGAATTTTAATATTACGAAAATTTCTGTTACATCTTTAAATTTAATATCTTTGATTTTTAGGAATAGTAAATGAAAATTAGTAATAACTTAACAATGAGCGGTTGTACATTCATTAACTTTTGAAGCAATTAGATGTATGTTTATAGTGACATTTTAGTTTAAAAAGAATATCGCCATGTCAAGTTTTTCCAATTTCAAATAAAAATTTCTAGACATTTATTTATTCTTGCTTATTTAATTTATGAATTGGCATTAACATCAATTGGACTTTCTGTACACTATGATTAATGCCAGTTTGGATCAGCCATTAAGTTGCATATCATTCTTGACGCTAATATTTAGCTAACATTGGTAGATGATTTAATATAACAAAATAATAAGAATTGTGAAAGGAAATAATAGTGATCCCTTAATTTAATTTGAAAGAGAAATCCCTTAACGTAGTCTCATAAATGAATATCAAAATTGTTAGCAGTTGACGAGTGAGAAATATGCTTCCAGTCATAAGCGTGCATGCTTGCATGCACACCTGTGCTAATTAACTGATTTACTATTAGTAGTAACTAATAGCAGGTCAAATCTTCTGGCTATTTATTTAATTTGAACGCCAGTCTTTATGACTTACGACGAATTTCAATAGAGATGTCACATTTTTGCTTCATTTCACGCTCAATTATGCAACTTATGTAAATTTTTTGAAATTAGTTAAAAATCTAAAATGGATTGAATACCTTTCCAACAGCATACTTGTTTTATATAGGTACACTTTCTTCCTTTTATGTATTTTAAACACATAAATGGAAAACTGATAACTTCGAGGCGATATGCATAACAATTTCAGCCTCTGTTATTTATTATTTCTCTTTTAAAATGAAAATATACGAATTTTTGTTTTTTTTCTTTTCCATTTGACTTCTGTCTTTCGGATTCCTTTCATTAGAACACTGATCTTTTCAATGTAAAAGTGTGGTTATCAATCTTTATCACTTGCATATTAACAATTCTAATAATTTCACTTTATCAAATTAAGAGTGTTTCGCACAAACAGCAATGGTTTCTCTTCCAAAATAGACACTCTTCCATCTTCCATTCTATCACAATTCAATAGCATTGCTGCAATCATCGAAATAATTATGTAAAAAGCACTAATAAGTCAATTCTTTATGAAACAAACATACACTCTTCCACTTGCGTTGTTTGTATTAATGAGCCATCATCCCATAACTTGTCAACTTTATAATCTGTGATAATCTCCGCGGCTGAAATTGATGCGAGGAATATCTGATCAATATAACAAGATTTTTGAGATAACTTAAAATGATTACTACAATCAAGTAATAAAGTAATTCACGCTGTGCTGCAAAACTAAACGTAAGTAACATTCGAATTGAAGTTACTTCCACGTCAGATGTTGTTCTAGCATTACAGAATGCACGAAAAAAAGTGCCTAGATTTTTATTTCATATGCATGCTTGGAAGAGAATTAGCAAAAAAGGAAAGATACATACCTGCTACACCTGGTCCTGGTTGTGCTGGGTTGGCAGCTTGACGACCGCAATAAATGATGAAAGCAATATATACCAGCAACTTTGCCATATCAAATCAGTCGTATTATAATTTATGTTTCCTATAATTTCACTCCTAAGTACTACATTATTTAAGAGTAATAACTTTTGAAGTTTGGTTGAGAAAGATCGGCGAACAAGTTTTAACAGAAATTAACAGGATCTGACTAAGAGTATTTTCTTGAAAATTAAGAAAAAAATGAATGACCGAACTAATTATAATAGTTAAAGATGAAAAAATGGCATTTTTTTATTTCGACAGTGATATCCTTTTGTTCAATTTTCTAAATTTCTCAAGTTGAATGGAAAAAGGGAGAACAAAGTTAGTAGAACGTAGAACGACAAAAATCGTTTTTTGACCAACGATAACAATTTATCATTATTATTTTTTGGCTGTAAAAACAATTGACAAAAAAGTGAAGGTTTTCAATTTTTTTTTCTTTGTTTTTGTAGGGATTAGGAAAAATTTTTGGTATTAATTAATACTTATTTTTTATTTGGTTTGTTAAGTTGGTAATAACATTAATTGCACTGCTATACTGTACCATAAATGCCATCTCAGTTATCTGAAACGGGTTGTATTCATATTTTGATCATGACCTCACTTTGTTTGTTGCTATTAAGTTACATATCACTTATCCAGTTAAATTTAACTTTATACAACTAAAATAATAAGAATGTGGAGTAATTTTAAAAATAATGCGCACAAAAAGGATAATTCAATTAAGGTATAATCCCTTGTAAAATAAAAATGTACGAGTTCTTGTTGTTTTTTTTTTTTCCCAGTTTTTATTTGTTCTTTTTGGAAACAATCTTCAAAAAATTTCTTGAAATCAATGTAAAAACTAATAAGTTGAAAATTTTATCTTTCTCTGCGGAAAAACAACAATTTAAGGTTTTATCATTCATTGTTTGTCTTATAAAATGGATATAAATGAATTCTCGTTTTTTCTTTCTCATTAGATACTGTGACCTTTTCAGTGTTAAAATGTGGTTATCAATCTTTATCACTTGCATGTTTACAATTCTAATAATTTCACTTTATCAAATTAAGAGTGTTTCGCACAAACAGCAATGGTTTCTCTTCCAAAATTGAATGAAACGAAGGGTGAAACTTAAAAGAGTTATCAAATTCCTGAAATGATTAATTATTCAAAATAAAAAATTCCAATTAATTAATTCATTGTAAAATTCACAACAAATCGGAGACTATCAATAATATTTTTCATAATTAAATAACGGGAAGCGTCAAAAACTGCGAAACGTTTGCGCTGGTTACTCGTTACGTTTTCCATAGAACTCAAAAATAAACTTCTGCTTTGAATGGAAATTGAAAAAAAATTAGTAAACAATCAAATTCATAATGAACTGATTTTTTTGATTTTTTATCCGCGGTAGGCTCATCAAACAATGTTCCTCTCAGAAATTTAAAAAACATTCAACAGTGTTTATCTTTGACCTACCAAACAATATTTTAATTCAAATATTTTTGACAACATCAATCATAGTTTTACAAATGATTCATTACATTCACATTGTCTGCAAGTGCAATTATAAGGATTATAATAAAAGAGACGAAATTATCAAAGAGAACATGTGACTATCATTTTAATCACAAAAGTAATGATTCAAACTTTTTTCAAAAATTCCCTTGTTCTATTTATTATGAAGCAACGCATAAGTATTACGTGAATTAAGTGTTACACGTTTTGCTGTTCTCTAATTTTACACGTACTTCATATATTTAAGTCTTATTGACCTTTTAACTATAGCTATTATTTATATATCAATTACTTCAAATTATTATTGGACATCGGACAACAATCAGTCCAAAGCATTCATTGTCTTCTTCCTCCTTTCTCTTCCTTATTTCTCTTGCATGCACGCCATGCAGCAAAATGCATACCCAGAACGGTGATTTTAGTTTTGAATAGTATTACTGATAAAAATGGATATAGCCTCTTAAAAGGATTTCTTCAAAAGTTATTTTAACTTTTTTAAGTTTTAACTTTTCAAAAGTTATTTTAACAGTAACTTTAGTTGAAAAGGATTTCATAAAGCAATTTTAGCATTTGTGTTTCAGACAGAAATGCAGCTACTTCGTTGGCATACCGTATGCTAAGACAGCTGAAGAAAATGAAGTCACAGTGGAGCATTCCTTGGCCGATGGCCACGGAAGCTATTATCAAAGGGACTGTCAAGCGAAAAAGGCCTGAACTTGTGGGAAAATTGAAGAGGATGTGAAGAGGATTTCTAATTGATTTATTCTTTCTTGGCTAATATTTTTCATCTCTTTCAGATGCTGCACAATGTCATGGCTTTTGTTCATTCTGGCTGACCAGGTCACTTCGATAGCCATCATCATCATCCAACCTTCGTCATTTCTTTACTCGGACGCCTTTTTCATCTTCACTCAAGTAACTTGACTAACTAATTTATTAATTCCAATTTCTTTTTAATTATTTTCATGGTGTTACTATTAGTCACACTGTTATTGTTTCTTCTTTTTTTTTTTCAGTTTGATAAATTTAAGAGAATTGTAACCCAGCATAAATTAGCATAACTTATAATTTGATCGCGAATTTTTTTGATTGTTTACTCTTTTGATTGCTTTTCATTTTGAAAATATGACTTTTTCTTTTTTGATTGTTCAATTTTTTCTTTTCTTTTTGGGGGTGGGAGGGAGGAGGCTTCTGGTCCTTTGTTTACTAATATGTAAAAGTGGTAAAAAAAATACAATAAAAAAGAAAACAAAAAAATTTTAAAAAAACCAAAAAACAGCAAATTAAAAGAATAAAAAATCAAAAAACAAATAACAATATAAATATATATGGAAATATGAAAAAAAAAATAAGAAAAATAAAGAAAAAATGCAAAAAAAGTAAAGAAAAGAGTCGAAAAATTGAAAACAAAAAAAAGATATCCTTACTTTCACTTTTCTGACTTATATTACTACTTTCCATTTTTATTTCTCTCCTTTACTGTGTTTTATCAGTTACTGTCTCACCACTTTTCATTTTTTATGGTTTATTTTTTAATTTAGCTTTTCTTTTTCATTCTTAGTGTTATTTGTTTTCATGTTTGCTTTTCATCTTTATTTTTCCATTAATCTTTTTCTTCTTTATGATATCTTTATTTTCATATACTTACCAATACTTTTATATATTTATGTCTTTTTTTTTCTTTCATTAACCTAATATCTTGTTCTTGTAATGGTTATAGGATGAGGTCAGAAAAAATTCTAGTCGAGATCTGAGGCTACTATCCGATATGTTACTCGATCGACTAACTTTGTCACCATAGACGTAAGGATTTATCGAATTGTGTGAAAGATTGTTCCTCTGCTTTATCAGAATATCTGAAGTATTTGGTAAAACAGCTATATTCAATTAAGTTAAGGCTTAGGTAATTGTAAAGCGAAATGTCTTCAAACTTTTATGAATAGAACTTTTAGTATCAAGTATTAGGCATCTTTGATAAGTAAGTGATTGAAATTTTTAACTGTTTGAAATTTTTTTTCTTTTTTTGTGTTTACTGATATTTTTCCCACAATTTATTGTTTCATTTTGTATTATTTAAATTATCATAAAGTTTTTTTTATTATTAGGTACTACAGAGCTTAAATTAGGGTATTTCCATGCCTATCTGAATATTCTAAGCTATTTTGAAATGTGATAATTTAATCATTTTTTGTAATTTTAATTTGTTGCATTGCATTTTTGATATTCTTACTAAATTTATAATGCTTTTCTAATTTCGCTGCACAATTTTTACAATTACTGATTATTATCAACTGTAACAGGACAGTTTGTTATGGTTGTCCTACTGTATTCCTACTTAAATTTTAAGTTTAAACATCTGATCAACTTTATTTTTAGTTGTGTTTAAGTTTAAACATATTTTTAATTCTTAATTGCCACTGTAATTGAAGTTAGTTTTTAGCTTTTTGAAATTGATTGTTGAATATTTAATACAACTTTTATTTACCAACTTTATTTTTTGCAACTTCTTTTGAATTTTTTTCTAAAACGTTATGTCGAATAATTTAGTGAATGTTTCATTATATGATTATTTAGACTTACAAATGTTATTGTTATATCAACTAGATATTGCCATCTGTTTCATATTTAATAATTTTATGATGTTCTAATTAGTTTAAAATTTTTATTTGAACAGAATCTTTCTTATTTACAGTTCTTGTTTGAAATCTGTTCATTAATTTGTTTATCTCTGAAAAGTTATTTTAATACTGGTAACTTAATTTAATTTGTAATTGTATTATTTTTAAGTTTAATTTTTGAAAAACTTCATTGTACTTCACTTAAATTTATATCGTTTATATCTATATAAACTATAAATTAATGGTATTTTGTTATATGAGATGCTCTTTTTTTTAAATTTTTTTACTCCCAAATAATGTGACAAATATGTTATAGAATGTTCAAACATCATATTTTAAAGTTCTAAAATTTTATTTTTTTCTATTTCTTTCTCTTTTTGATTGTGTCACTTTTTTTAAAGTTTTATTTCTTTTTGTTTTGTATTCATGTTCAATTTTTTGATATTTCGACAATTTTTTCTTTATTTAAAGTCATTTTCTAATTGAATTTTTTGAGATAATCTCTTCCAAAAAAAAAAAAAAAAAAAAAAAATGATAATTTTATCGAAATTTTGATAACTTTTAATCATTTCTTTCCACTTTGGTAAATTTTGAATTTGTAATTTAATTTTCTGATGCTATTTGTCTTTACATATTTTTTTTTATATCCGTGTACATTTTATTCTTAATTCCATTTCTTTTTCTGTTCAAATTATTCCAGTTGACATTCTGTTATTTTAGTTCAGCTTTTGATGCTTTTTTCCAGTTTTGTTCACTTCAGATCTATTTTTTACATTACTTTAAAATAACTTTTATTTATGTCTGTCTATTCACAATGGGTTTTTTACCTCTTTGCTATTTTCATTTATAATTTTTTTTTTTTTTTTTGTTGTTAACCTACTTTTTGCATGTCTCTTCGTTAAACTAATTTTTTCATTTTTTTTTTTCTCATCTGCTATTTGCATATATCTCTTTTTACTGAAATCACACTCACTATCACTTTATCATAATTTTCCTATTTTACATCATTTATATTTTTGCCCACATATTCATTATATGTAAATTAGTATCTATTATTATTTACTATAAATTATTATTAATTACTACTTACTAATCACTATATTTTAATTGTTTTGCTATTTGTTATTTATTACTATTTAATGTTGTTTACTATCTTGCTTATTATTTAGATTATTTACTATTATATCACTTATCTTTATATTACTTGTTGTTACTTGTTATTTATTATATTAATATTCATTATTATTTTGTTATTATTATTACCTAATTTATTATTATTCACAAATGAGAATAGTTTCAACTTTGAAAAGAGTTTTCACCTTTACAGGTAGTAAAATTAAAATCAGTTTGCTTAAAACAAAATGCTACTTGCAATTATTTTGCATTAAAAGAAAGTCTTTTTCACCAATTAATTAAATTATAATTTTTTTGCGTTTATCACTAATTTTTTTTTCACTTTTTAAAATTAAATTTAGTTCTTAAATTTTGTATCAAAAATTCTTAAACAATCGTAATATTTTGAACAGTGCAAGCGAATAATTTGATTAATTAATATGGTAACAGAAATAATTACTTATCATATCACTTAATCACTGTTACTTACACTGTTACTTATCATATCACTTAATCACTGTCACTTGTCACTGTTACTTATCATATCACTTAATCACTGTTACTTACACTGTTACTTATCATATCACTTAATCACTGTCACTTGTCACTGTTACTTATCATATCACTTAATCACTGTTACTTACACTGTTACTTATCATATCACTTAATCACTGTTACTTACACTGTTACTTATCATATCACTTAATCACTGTTACTTATCACCCTACCACTTCAGATACAATGTGATACTGACTGATAATTGATGTTGGATTTTTATGTACAATTTGTTCCATTATTAATTTTGTAATTACTAATTCTAGCAGATAATAAACTTAAATAGTATAATTTTATCAAATAATACTATCATAATTAACAATAAATAAAATTTAGCTAGTCTCTTTCATTGCAATATTAATATATCTACATTTTGATTTCAAAATTTTTATAAATATATTCCTGCAATTACTAGAGATACATTATAAATCCTTTTTAATTGACATTATTACCAGACAAGATAAATTTGTCAAAACAAAATAAAATAAAAGTAGTACATTAATTTTAATCAGTTTTACTTTTCAAAGTTTTATTATCATTTAAAAGTTAAAGTTTTTGTAATGTTTACTGCTTGAACTATAAGAATGATGATAATTGAAAAATTCTAATTTTTCAAATTATTTATCACTACAAAACGAAATTAAAAATGTTAGTAAATTATAGTTTTATCACCTGATCTATATTTTAATTTCAAAAATTTTTATAAATGATATGATAATTGGTGCATAATTTACCTAACTGTTTAATCCACTGAAACTTATGATGTTAGAAAAAATTTACCTCATTTTAAAATGTAAAAAATATTCATTCTAAGATATTCCATTTGGTTATTTTTAATTTTTTGTGCAAGATATTAGCATATAGATGTAGAGATGACATGATGAATACAATATTCGAATTGCTGATTAGCTCAAAAAATTTTTACTCAGTTTGTTAACATAAAAATTCAAAAGATTATAATTTAATGCTTACTCAAATTTTCCACTTTTCGTCTCTTTTTTCTTATCATTTGCTTATTATTATTTTATTTATTCATTTCTCCTTCGTCGGATTATTCGATCCTTTGTATTAAAAAAATAACAAGAGAAAAAAAAAAAAAAACAAACAAATATTTATATCAATTTTTTGACAATCAAAATAAACAAATTAATTTTAATCTTCCCAATCACTCATTTCATAATCACTTTCCATTCCTAAGCTTGATAACGGTATTGGCTTCACCAGGTCACCTTTAATAACACGTATTTCACGTTTTGATGACCTGGTATAGACATATGGCGAGCATATTGGTGCTGCCATACGACCCAAAATTTCCTGAGTATCCATACTTTCTTGCATATAAAAAACTTGTACTCCTAAAAAATGAGTAAAATATTTTTAAGAATTTTTTTTAAATTAAATTTAATTCAAGAAAAAAAAATACATATGTGGTTTTTTTCCTTTCTCTCAAAAAAGATAAATAATTTAGAGTATTTGAGCATTTTAAGACAATTTATTATTTGTTTAAAAAGGAAAATGTTAAGGAAAGGATGAAATTAAATTGTAAATTTGATTTACAAGAAATAATTTAACTACATTATTTTTTTTTTTTTGTTTTTGTTTTTTGCTCATTTCATTTATTCTTATTACTCATTATTGAAAGCATTGACAAATAAGATATTGCCATAACTGAGAAACTATTCCTAAGTTTAGCATATTTGATTAGTATTTTAAAGTACGATTAAACAAAATTTGATTAGAATTTTAGCAAATGATTACGATAAAAGAATTAGGAAATTTAATAACTTGTGAGGAATTTTTGAAAATTTATGAAATACTTAAAACACAAAAAAATTTAGAAATTTTTTCAAATAAAAAACAGAAAAATTGTTTAAAAAAAACTTAGAAATTTTAGGTAAAACACTAATAAATACCTGAGTAAATACGTCGACGAAGCTTTCGTGCGCATTCCATCATTTTACGTGATGCTTCTTCAATTGCAAAAATTGTTAAATTTCTAGAAGCAAGAGAAGTTTGCCTTGGTTTCTGTTCATTTGAACAATTTGTAACGATCATTTGAGTAATTTCTGAGGTACCAGATGTAGAGACACTACTTCGTGATGATTCTTTCCATACATCATTTGTTAAACTTTCTAGGCCTATAATTTCCTTTCATAGTTTAAGAATAAATTTTGATATTAAATGTTTTTTATTTTTTCATTTCTTAATTTTTTATTTTGTTTTTTAAATAAAAAACTTCATTATTCTTCAATCTCTCAGTAGCAAAAAATAAAATAATTTTTAAAATTTGATATAAATAAATTAATTTACTTCGATCAGATGAGCTATCAATGCTATTTTTGGATCCCATATTGCTACTGCATCGTGAATTTAACCAAGAACTTTTTCGCTGTGGTGGCTTTTCGTCCGGTTCCGGTTGTGGTGTTCCAAGCTGTGCAAAATTTGGTATCCGATTTGCACTATGGTATATCCTAAAGAGAAAAAAAAAAAAAGATAGCTAACATTTTATTTTAGTAAAAATTTAAACTAACATTTTATTTTTTAACAAAATTTTTGCTTTAAATATGTTTGCAATTATTTTCGTTTCTTTTTTCATCAATTATTTTTACCAAATGATTTTCTTCGATAATAGTAATAATAATGAGTCAAAATAAATTATAAGTTTATAATTATTGGTCTTATTTTTTTAGAAAAAAAAAATGCTTGTTAGCGCTTAATAATGATAATGAATCATAATAAAATTATAATTCTTATTTTTTCTTTCAAGAAAAAAAAAATTGTTTGGCTAATTCGATAAACATTTTTCACATACAATAGATAATACTATTTCATTATTTTAATGAGTTAAAATGTAAGAAAATTTTTGAGCACTTAATAAGTAGTGGAAATAAAAAACAAAACATTTGATAAACATTCAATGTAGCATATTTTTCTTACATAAATAAAAACTGTTTAATCAGATCAAATCAGATAAATTATTGATAGTAAAGAGATCATCTATATTGATTGATGCTTCATAAGCTGCTGCTTGATATCATAATATAAAACTTTAATTTTCTATGTCATCTTGCGGCGATTAATTTGTTAAAGTATAAATATATTCTTAATTAAGTACAAAACCTTCAAAGTATTAATTAAATTACCCATGTTATTAATTAAGTAGAAAATCTTTTGATAAAATTACCTAAGTAATCGAATATTATGTGGCATTTTAAATTCAATAAATTGAAACAATACAGCTGAATTGTAATGTCGAAAGCCAAGACAATTTAAATGAAGTATATTTAAAAGTCGTGTAATTGATTCATCAATTTGACATGTTTCACCCAAATGAAAAACATACGGTGGAATATCCAAATCTTCCACTACCTAAAATTTTAATCAAAATTTTTGAAATTTTGATCTAAGCAAAATAAATTATTGTACAAAATTTGAAATTAAGTGAAACAAATAAAATGAAGAAAGATAAGATAGTTTATTGGTGCTAAAAGCATTTCCCATGCAATTTAAGTAAATATTAAAAGATGCACAATCTTTTATTTTGCTAATAATAAATTAGCATTCGAAAAGAGCAAATATAAGAAAAGCTTAATTTAATTTTGTTAAAATATATATCAATTTTGTTTAGAAATTAAAAAAAAAAATACTCTTACATGATGAGAGAAATTTGGTGATAAATTTGCTAAGAAGGGAAAATTTTTAATTTAAAATTTATGGTTAAATTTTTATAATGTAAGAAATTAGAAACCTGAAGTTTAGCGATTGCTTTACAGTATCGATCTTTTTTATTTTCTTTACCATATGTACAACCAATTGCTAATCGTTTTAACGTCCTATGTAATCGTTCACACAATGCATCAATTGCTTTTGATGAAATATATAAACCTGCAAATATTTTAATTTTATGCTTTGAAAAAAAAATAAATTTTAGCAAAAAAAAAAAAATTTTTTTGTAACAAGATGAAGATGAAGTATATATTGCTAATTAAAATAAGCAATTACTTAAGAAATAAACAAATAAACAAAGATAATAAGAAAGGGAAAAAAAAAAACACAAGGAAAAGCAATCTATGAAATTATGAATATTTCAACAGATTGAATTTGAAGAAGCAAAGAAATAAACAAATTAGAAAATTTCAAGTTTAGACTTTTCTTAGTTTTCTTTATTCATTCCTTTTTTTCTCAAAAAAAAAAAAAAAAAAAATGAAATAAATTTTACAATAAATAAAAGAAAGAAAAATTTCATATTTATTGAATCATGCAAGCCGAGCAATTGTTACATTACTAACTTTGAGGTTCAGCTTTGTTTACTAATAGTCTTTCATTTATCATACAAAAAAAAAAAAAAAAGACAAAAATGAGCAAAATGATTTTGCTAATTAAAATAGTTTTTTAATTAAAATATAATGAGAATAAGAAATGATAAGAATAATTGTGACAAAAAAAATTGGAATTTTAAATTTTAACAAACTATAATACTTACCGACAATTTGTAAATTAACAATGGGTCCTTTAATTGAATCTGCAAGAAAGCATGGAAAAGCAGCTGTACATTGAGAAGAAGATTGTGGTACTGTCGAGTCGAGAATAAGAATGGATTCTAAGAGCGGAAAAGCAAACAAGGAATGTAATAAACGCCTATTTGGTCTGAAAAAAAAAAATGAGATTTAATAAAAATATGTTTAAAAAAGAATTAATTTTGCTATTTAAAAAAAAAAAAAACATACGGTAATCATAAATTTCCTTTCTACTGTAATATGCAAATTTTTTCTTACTGTAATATACGATTTTTCGTATTGTAATATATAAATTTCTTTGCTGAGTTACATTATTATTTGCAATAAGATAAAAGTAAATAATAAGTAAGTGTTAAAAGTATAAAGAAAGTGTAAGAGAAAGATTAATCAATAATATTAAATGGTTTAAAGTTAAAATTTAATTTCCATTGATTACGATGCAAATTGTTGAAGCAAATAAATAAACAATTGAAAATAAGAATATGATATATTTTTTATAGAGCTTTTTAATAAATATCAGTAAACCTTTTCTTGTCAAAATAACAATTTGAATTCCACATTCGTAATGTTGTAATCGAGTGAAGTTGTGATAAAATATTACCAAAATCCTCACTTAAACAACCATTTCGAATTGTTAACGTTGTTAATGATTGTAATCTGAAAATTAAAAAAAAAAAAAACTAATTTAGATTATTACGAAAAAAAAAAATTTTTTTTTTCTAATAAATAAATTTGAACGAGAAAGAATTATGAATTTATTGAATTCAAAAGAAAAAAAAAATAAATATTGTCAAATAATTAAAAATAAATCATATAAACAAAGTTGTTAAATAATATTGATTCTGTGATAACTGTTTAAAAAAAAAAAATAATAATAGTAGTTCACTTTTTATCATGTTAAAATTATAATATTTAATTAAATTTGAAAAAATTTGAAAAGAAACAAAAAAAAAAAATAATTGCTAACCTAAAAAGCATAGCTTTTAATGCTCGATTTGCATATTTATCAAAATTAAATCTTAGCCTATACGTAGCACCACGTGTATCCGTCAACTGTATACGATATGTAAATTTGGCACTTTTAGCATGTTGCACAATACCTCGAGCAAATAGCATTTGTTGTTCATCATCATCTAAAAAAAAAAAAAAAAAATTGCTTTAATATTTCCCGCATATATGTATTTAAATTTTTTTTAGCGCATTTTAATTGCAACCATTGAAAATTTCTTTTTTTTTTTTTTAATCTTTATTTCATTATTTTCATTCATTCATTATTTTATTGCAATTCTATTTTTTTTTTTTTTTTAAATTTATTTCAATTGAATTTCCTACTTTGATTTCTGTGATATCCAAACTAATTATAATTATATCACAATTATAATATTTAATTAGCTAATAATACAAATTTTTAAAAATTTATTTAAATTTTGTTTTATTATAAAAAAATATGCAAATCATCATACTAAAATATGGCATAATTTTAAATATAATATAAATTTAAAATGTTTGAAATAATTTTCATACTACAAAATTATCATTATTAATTTAATATCTACTAAAAAATAATCTTTTTTTTTTCATCTTCTTCTTCTAAAAAAAATACAATTGCCATAAAATAATGGATGAATGAATGAATGAATGAAAATAAAATAAAAATTTAAAGAAAAAAAATTTGAAAAAAAAGAAATATTTCCATAGCATACCATTTTGCTCAACAATTCCAATATCCAATGCTATAATATCAAACCATTTTCCATAAATTGTATGAAAATGCTTGCAGCATTGCTGTAATTTCAATCGTTCCAACGGTGAAAAATATTCAAAAAGTTGTAGCAGTGCAGCTTCCGGAAGATAATTACCATTCATTAAGACAAATAATTATCATCTGTAACAAATAAAATTATCAGATTAAAAAAATTTTAAACTTTTTTTGATTCTTTTTTTGTTGTCCAAATATGTTTAAAAAAAGGAGCGAAAAAAAAGAAGAAAAAAGTTTTTTTTTTTTTTAAGTTATACTTTCAAATTTAAATATATTATTGAAGTATTGTAGCATATCATACAAACTCTGATTTTGTTTGCATTTTTTTCATTTAAAGTATAAATGACCTATGTCATGTGTTTTTTTTAAAAAAAAAGATAAAATGGTGAATTTGCAAATTTAATAATATTTAAATTATAAATTTTATATTTGCGCTGAAATAAGCGGACTAATTCTCAAATTTAGAACATATGTGGAATAGATTTTATTTTCAAAATTAAATTGTTTATTCTCATTTTAAAACATTTTAATAATATGTTATTAATATTAGACAAAATAAAAAAGATTTTTTACAAAATTTGATCGATTACCAATGAGAAAGCACAAATTGATGATAATTGCAAAAGGAATGCCATCATAAATCTTCTTATTTAAACTTCTAAACAATTTCCGCACATTTATCAATTTGTAATTTTATTTTCGGTATTTACGATATTGTTATAGCTATCATTCTTTCTGACAGCTTTTGCGTATTTCAAATTATTTTTAATCAATTGCATTAAAAAAAAAAGATTCCAAATATAAATTAACTTTTATGCTAATATCAAATTATTGCAAAATATAATTGTTAAAAATATAAAACTGAAAAATTACCTAAAAAAAAAAAAAAAAAAAAACTACATTTCATAAGAAATTTGATATATTTTTTTTTTTTTTTTTGTATCAATTATTTAAGTATTATCACTAATAAATATGATAAAGCATAAAAGAATAAATAATACACTGTAAAATAATACTTTTCTAAACTAATAATATCTCTTTTTTTTAATATAATTTTTTAAATTTTTTTTTTAAAAAAAAAGAAAGAAAAATTATTATTTATTTTGATATAAAATATTTTATTGTTTATAATTTTAGAAAGAAAAAATTCGATTCAATGCTAAAAGATAGAAAAGCTATAATTTAAGAGAAAGGAAAATAAAAGGAAAGAAATTATGAAATTTAATGAAAATTGATTCGTAAAATTTAGAATACCTTCATCAACACTTAACAATGTATGTGTGTATGTTTGTGTGTCTGCATGTGTGTGCATATGCCTGTGTATGCGTGTATGTGAACGTATGTTTGCACGAGTGTATGTGTGTATGTATGTGCATGTAAGCATGTGTGTATGTGTGTGTGTGTGTGTGTGTGTGTCAATAACACCACAAAACGATAAAACGAGAGCACAGTTTAGAATTTTGAATTAAACTGCAAAAAAAAAAAACATTAAAATTCAGTAATGGGAAAATAATTGATGTATCATATCATTTGCTATCAGTAACTATCAAAAAAAAAAAAAGAAAATTGCAAATAAATTTTTTTTTAAATTTTACAAATTACAATTTTCTTTTTTCTTTTTGCTTTGGTAAAAGAAAAATAGAAAAAAAAAAGTTAGTTGAAATTAAAATAAAAAAAAAAAAAACATTCTTAATCTTTCAAATTTTAAACAAAAAATTTTTCTCATTTTTTTACTTTCCGTGCAAAAAAAAATTTAAAAGAAAAAAAAAAAAAAACAGTAAAAAAAAATTTTTTTCACTTACTATTTGCCAAAATGTTACGGAAATATTGCAAATAATACTCATTCAATTTTTAAATTAAATAATGTCAAAATGTAAATTTCACTCATTCGTTTATTGTCCAAAGATTTCGTACACAGAAAATTAGTTACTAATTGGTTATCAAGAATGAATTTTTACAGTGATAATTGATAATGTAGAATTTTCAAGTGATAAATTGATAGATCAATTAGATCAAAAATGATAAAAATTAAAAAAGGTGAGAAAATTTCTATTTTTGAAAAATTAAAAAATAAATGTATTAATGCTGAGAAATAAAGATTATGTAATGAAATAATTTGAAATGAGTAATTAAAAAAAAAGACATAAGTTATTTTATGATGATAATTGTATTTTGAATTAACTTAATAATTAATTGTTTGAATTATTTAATAATAATAAAATGTGAAAAATAATGAACAAAAATAGATTCTTGAAAAGGATGCAAAAGAATTTTTGGAATTTTTAATTTTGTCTTATAATTTAAAATTCTTTAAAATGGTAGTTTCTTCTTTTTTGCAGTGAATTTGAAAGATTGTTTTATTCTCATTTATGCAAATTTCATCAACTTTACTTCATCGCTATATGTTTGCAAGTAAACAAAGGCTAAATCAATTTCATTTCTAATTGTTGCATCGAATTTCTTACTTAACTCAAAAAAAAAGTGACAACTTCGATATTTTCAACAAAAATAAAGTTTTCCATAATAAAAAAAAAAAAAAAAAACTTTGCAATAACAAAAATCAATTTCAAACATTTATATATTTGCCATTTTTATGCATGCATGTTTTCCTAAAATTAATTGATATTTTATTGATAAATAATTTTAGCTAAAAGTTGATTATTCTCTCTTCTCAAAAAAAGAAAATTAGAAGATGGAAAATAAATTAACTTCAAATTAAATTTTCAAAAATGATTTTACATTGTATCGGTATATTATTTATGAAAGATAAAATGACAGTTATTAATTATAGAAACGAAGAAATTTCTTCATTACTTTATCAGAGGGTAAATTTAAATTTATAGAGCATTTTTAAAATTAATAATTTCTATTGCACATGTAATTTGTTATATCACAATGTGAATTTATCAAAACGATGTTATACTTTGAAAAAAACTTTTAAAAACTTCTTAAAATGTTTAAAAAAAGAAAGCACATTTTAAAAGTATCAAATTTAAAGTAAAAAAAAAGTATGTATTTTTAACACAAGAAAGTATTTTAAGAAATTTGTAAATTCTGAAAAATTTAAAAAATAGATTTGCGTATTTCTTTTAAAAAAGTTTTTTTTTTTGTTGTTAATATTTTTGTTAAATAATCGAAATAATTGTTAAAACAATACGCAAAATCATATAAATTTTTTTCAAACATTACAAAAAGAAAGTAATTCAAATAAAAAAAAAAAATGAAAAAAAAAGGTCGTTGTTGCTAATTGAATTTTAATTTTATTAATATTAAAAATTTTCTTAAATATTTTGTTAAAAATTAAAAAAAAAAATTAGCAGTAGCTTCTCGAACGTTTTTTTTTTTTTTCACACTAATTGTTTACATATATATGCAAATAAGCTTATTTGATGTTTATTTTTTACATAATAATTTTTGCAGCAATTTCAAAGCGATGCTCTATTTTAAAAAGAAATTGCTTTTTTTTTTTTTAAAAAATTGTTCTGTAAAAAAAGTTACATTTTAAAAGTGCTAAATTTAAAGAATAAAAAATTTTAGCAAGAAAATATTTTAAGAAATTTTAGAATTTCAGAAAAAAAAGAAAACATAAAATATAGAATACACTTTTTCCAAAAAAAAAAAAAAAAAAGAAGAAAAGCATAGAAGTGCAGTGCAATAATTTATTCTGTTTAACATATTTGAAAGTAAACATAAAATTTATCATTGCTTTACAAATGTAATAATTTATATAATTAATAATTAATTATATTATCAGTTCAAAGTTAATTTTTGATTTCAAACAATTTAACTTATCGATTTCCCTTTTCTTTTTTCTTTTATAATATCAATAATTTGATTTAAAAAAAAAAAAAAAAAACGTATCCTTAAATTCATATCTAAAAATATTCAGCATTATTTTTTGAACATATAAATAAATTCATTCGATAAATGTTTTAATAAATTTCTTCAATATTACAGTTTAATTAATTCTAATTATCTGATGAAGGCTTTTGAGTTGACAAATTAATCAATCTTTTATTTGCATGACGGAAGCACTTCTCTTCAAAAAAAAAAAAAAATGTCACAATCGAATTCATCAATACAATTAAGGTTAATGACTTTTGCATTTAAAAAAAAAAAAAAAAAAGATAAAATTACCATGAAAAGATTTGCATTTTACAATTCTTTTGCAACATTAGAAAAATAAAAATATTAATTAATATTCTCTAAAATTATCAAAATGTTCTATTTATATAATTTGAAAATTTTCAAAAAAAAAAAAAAAAAAAATTAAAAGTTTTCACTTATCGAAAAAAAAAATTTAATAATATAAAAAATGAATTTTATTCTATTGGTTTAATTTTTTATGAAAAAATAGCAAATAATGAATATTAATTTATCAAATTTTTCATTTTCTATGTTTTTTTAATAAAACTAATTTGGAAAAAAAAAACTATAAATAAAAAAAAAACCTATAATTTTAATATTTATTGATACTATATTACATGAAAGGAAAAGAAAAAGTAAAAAAAAAATTAGATATTAATACAAAATGTGAAAAATATATATATTTTTTTTCTTTAGTACTATTATAAGAATTTTCTCAAAAAAATTTTCGCTACTTCAAATTGCTTATTTACTTATTTTATTATTGAAGGGCAAAAGGAAAAAAGAAGGAAGGAAAAAAAGAAGGAAATTTGAAGCAAAGTATTATTCTTAATTATTAAGAGAGAAGAAAACTGATTGTTAAAAATATAAATTGAGGGTAGGACATTTGCGCTAAAAGTATAAAAAAATGTCTTATTAGCCATAAAGTACATTCATCTTCCTTTTTTTTTTTAAAAAAAAAAAAAAAAAAAGCAGAAGTGTTAGGTAATTATTAATGAAAACAAAAAAATGAGAAATGAAAAAAATGAGTAATATTTTTTAAAAATTATCAATTTATTAATGATGAATTAAATTATGAAATGAAAATGATCAATTCATTAATAAAGGATTAATTTTTTTTTTAGAAAAATATTGAGTAATTATTAATTGATAATAAATAAAAATGAAAGGTGATTAATAGTTTTTGAATAAATAACTAAATTATAAAGCGAAAGAAGACTGCGATTCATTGATAAAAGAA